TATAACAATTAATTTTTAGTGATATTCGTTCTGGATATATTGATGATGGAAGTAATAAATAGTTACGTTAACTATCATTAATTTGTTATCTGTTTTATTAGCAATTGCATGATGGGAGAGAGTTTAAAATTAGGGAGCCCTATACGACTTCTGTATCAAACCTCCTGCTGTGTACATGGACCTCTTGAAAATATTCTTATCAAATAGCTGTCGGGAAACGTTCTGATAAAAAAAATAACAAAAAATAACATGGGAACGACCAGGTTGGTGGATCACGGATTTGGATCGATCTTTGTTTGGTGATTCTACACTCTTAAATATTGGACACGTATCCGCCACTTCTTGTTTTTACTTATTATTTCTATTTAACAAATGAGGTTTATTTCTGGCAACTAATTTTGCTATTTTGTGTATTTTCTTATGGAAATATTTTATATATTTTAATGATACACACGTCTATAAAAAGATACTTTCCTCTTCTTTCAAAAAGTCAAATGTCGGAAAAAAATCTATAAATTTAAATTCCAAAAAATTATATTTAGGGATCTCTAGAGGTGCTAAAATGAAATTTAATATTAGTTTCGAGAAAAAAATTATGACCTAGTTTACTTGAAAAATAATGGGTTTTAGAGTTTTTTTGTAATTAATAAACATAAAATATTAAAAAACTGAAACTTAAACCGGGTCAAATTCTCGAGAAGTGGAGTCGTGTCCGATATTTTGGAGTGTGGAATCACCAAAAATATTTCGTCCAAATCCGTGACCCACCACCATTGTCATCCCCTTTTAATTATTTAACAATGATACCAAATACTAATAATTATAATAAATATGTTAGAAAATTAATAGATATTATTTTAACAAGTCATCGTAAAGTTAGTTTTTAAATCACTTTTTTATCACCCCGACAAATATCGAGTAATCTGGTGTGAGTGTGCGACGTTTGGAGAGTGAATGTAAGTTATTAGCGAGAATGTAGTGGGTTCAATCCTGCCCCGAGGCATGTCGAGTACTCTGGCGGAGTGAATGTGACCACATAACTACGTTTGCGGTGATGTATATGTATTGTATGTTTTGTTTCTATTCTGTATGTGACACCCTGACGTACAGTCGAGAAGGCTAGCATTTTTAAGACATCGACGTGGTACACATTTAAAAGAAGAGCGTCAGGAACCAGATTGAGACGCTTAAATGGGCGCAGTTTACAACAAAATATTGGCGAAAGAAGAGAAAAAGAAAGAAAACACGTAGAGGGCCGGCGATGGCCTCAGCTGTTCGTCGGCCCATAAATTTCCAACTTTATTATTATGTAAATAAATTTACGTTTTCGTGGTCAATTTACCAAGTTACTTCTTTCAATCAACTAATTATTCTTTCTTTGTAATTTCTTGGTTGAAATAAAGAAGTCGGTGTCACGAGCGGGATTCGAACCCACGACCTTCGCCGCCTCTCTACCACTCGAGCCACCAATCGTGACTTCACCCAAAACTTTACTTTACTTTATTATGATTATTAAATAACTTTATAAGGTAGTTGTTAATAAAGAAATAGTAGTAGTATGAATAGTTAGTATAGATAAGTTAGTTTTTAAATAATTTTATAAGTTAATAAGATTTTTATGCAAATAAGTTAAATTTATAAGTATGTTATTAAATTAATATATAAATTAATTAGTTGTTAAATAAGTTAATAAATTAATATAGTGATAATTTAATAACTTATTAATTTAATAATTTAATATGTTGATAAATAAATAACTCAATACAAAACAAATGCAGATCAATGAGAAGTTTCAGGTGGATAAAATAAATCTTATTCTTCTGTGCTTTCTAAATCTTCAACTATCATACTTCATTCGTATGGGTTGATATTTAGTATTATGTATTCTTCTAAATAGGTTCAAGGTTTTGCTGAAAAATGACGTTAGATTGGAAAAAAAAGGTGCCCCATTATTTTCCCTTTTAATCCTTATTTGACCTCAGATGTTTGTCGGCCCATAAACTTCAAACTTTACTATTATAATATTAAATTAATAATTAATAATTAAATATTAATAATTAATAATTAAATAATAAATATAAGTTAGTTGTTAGTAAAAGAAATATTAGTAGTATGAATAGTGCAAACAGTACAGATAAGTTAGTTTTTAATAATTATATAAGCCAATATGATTTTTATACAAATAAGTTAAATTTATAAGTTATAAAATTATTATATAAATTAATTATTTGTTAAATAAGTAATAAATTAATAGATTAATAAGTTAATAGTTAAGTAATTTAATAAGTTGATAAATAAATAACTCAGTACAAAACAGACAATACCTGAACAATGAGAGGTTTCAGGTGGATAAAATAACTCTTATTCTTCTGTGCTTTCTAAATTTTCAATTATCATATTTCATTCGTATGGTTTGATATTTATTATTATGTATTCTTATATTTATTTGATATGATATTTATTATTAGAAGTCTAATTCTTCTGTGCCTTCTAGAGAAGATTATGATATTTATTATTATAAGTCTAATTCTTCTGTGCCTTCTAGATCCTCAATTCTCATACTTCATACGTATGGTTTGATATTTATTACTAGTATGCTCCTAAATTGGTTCAAGGTATTGCTGAAAAATGACTTTAGTTTGGAAAAAAGTTGCCCCATTATTTTTCCTTTTAATCCTTATTTGAGACACATATCGTTCTTCAAATGTATTATATGTAGGTAAAAAGAGAAAAAGGAAGGTTGTAAATGTTGTATCCGTGTTGTTGAGACCTTGCTTGTTTAATGATTGGGCAGCTGATCAGAATTGAGAAAATGTTAAAACTGCCCCACATCTGCCGAGGCACGTGCTCCAGTCGAAAAGTGGCCCGAATATTTCATTCTAACGAAATTCATTTAAATTTAATTTGAAAAAAAAAGAAAAGAAATTGCATTAGTGATATTTTTGATCGCCACCTGCGACTACGACGAGTTTCTCACAAGACGTCACCAAACCGACACAACCCCGACCTAAAAATGCTAACTGGAAAGGAGTCGAATTTTTGAAAATAACTAAAAATAACGTTCATATATTAGTTTGAAGCTCCCACGTCAGTTTTTGTCAAGGCGTTCGCTTATTTGTGTAAAAGCTACATCTACATGAAATTGACTGCGGCCGGGTCCATTACCGTTCGGAGGATGTTGACATGCAGCACATGTTAATAATGTATCAAACGAGCCACTCTTGAACCCTCGGCACGTACGGCGACTTAAATACGGTGTTAAGTACCTGTCAGATTCCACTACCGAAAAAAATACTTTATGAACAACGGATTGGTAGGAGAAACCATTACCGAAATAATCCCGCCTTCTGATTATTTATGGGAGGATATCTTGTTGTGATCCGGATTTATCTTCTTTATTTATCAGCCCGTCGATTCTTAAATACGTTAAGTTAAAAAATCTGTATGCAAATCCTTCATTGACATATTAAATTTAACACCTCACTTTTATTGGGTTATATTTTGCCGATAATGTCATCATTTTCAACGTTTTTATTACAAAAAAAAAATTAAAACTTTTTTAAACCTGACTGGCATTAAGGTATGAGCTTTTTAAAGTTTTTTTTAAACTTTAACTTAAAAGTTTATCTACTTCGTATTTACGAACAAAATTTTTACAAAAAAAAGTTAAATTAGATTCCATTAACCTAAACTGATTTTATCATTTTGCAAAATCACATCAAAAATTACAAAACTTTTTAATATTGTGTTATAATACAAGAAAAGTTTGACAATTATTAATGTATTTTTACGGCAGTATTAATTGTGTATAGATCTTTGTACCTTCATATATGGAATATGTGTTATTTATAGGATCGAATGTATTTATTTCCGTGAATGGTAGGGTTTATCCCCATTTGCCCCGAGGAATATCTACTCTGGAATGCTGACCAGAATGTCATGTATTTATCTTGTTTCTGTGCATTTGTGTTTCTTATCTGTGTTATTTTATCCAAAACTGACGAGGCCTTGAAGTAAAGAGAGGCTAGCTCGCATTAAAATAAAGAAATAAGGAAAAGAGAGAGTTGCCGTTATATCATCAAACATCCTAACTTGGCTGAAACGGTAAAAGAAATTAGATAAAATGCGAGAAAGAAGAAAGAAAATGAAAGAAAAAAGGGAAATGCAATGCTATGTCTCTCTCGCTCTCTCTCTCTCTCTCTCTTTCTCTCTCTCTCACTCTCACTCTCTCTCTGTCTGTCTCTTTCTCTCTCTCTCTTTCTCTCTCTCTCACTCTCTCTCTCTCTCTGTCTGTCTCTCTCTTTCTCTCTCTCTCTCTCTTTCTCTCNCTATCGATCTATCTCTCTCTCTCTCTCTCTATCGATCTATCTATCTATCTATCTATCTATCTATCTATCGATCTATCGATCTATCGATCTATCGATCTATCTATCTATCTATCTATCTATCTATCTATCTATATATCTATCTATCTATCTATCCATCCATCTAACTATCAATCTATCTATTATTCATCCATCTCTTTCTCTCTCTCTCTCTCTTTTTTTTTTTTTTTTTTGCTGAATGTTAGAGAGGTTAATATTTGCCCAAATTCTGTGTCCCTAACTAACACCGCATTCATTCATTCCAGCTAAGAGAGGGAGATCTGGCGATGACCAACGAAAAAAATCTGTTAAACAATTATTGGTCATGACGATTCGGAAAGATTTCTCAAAATGACCAATTACGACAATTTAGGTCGAATGACATAATGGTTGTTATCATGGTGATATATGTATTGTGCTAAATTTTTTGCTTTTGGGAAGGTTTATGGTACTGGCACGTGCTGAAGTCTCCTAACTGGTATGCATATCGTTTACTCTTGTAAGGATAACATAGAGTTTACGCAAGTATGTACAAATCAAAATTGAAAAAATATGGAGCAGAAAGGTTGGCAGAGTAGAATAAAATTAACTTGTTCAAATATATCCACAAGACACTTTAAAACAGATGATAGAAACGATGTCTTATTATTTATTTTTGAAACAAAAAGTTATCATTTACGAACAAGAACCTATAAATAACCTTCCTAAACAAGTTAGCACGGTTAGCAAATTAAATTTCGAACTATTCGTATCTTACTATCACAATGGTGAAACACCTCAATGTAGGTACGTAAATTCATGTTCTTGTAATTTGAGTTAATGGAACGAGACTGGTTGGTCATTGGAGATACCGTTTTTGCAGTAGCGTTGATGAGATTTGCAGAGTGTAGACGGGCCCGTGCTACGCGTATCTCCGATGTTGAAACTGTCTGGCGTACCGTTAAGGCACGCGACTCGCACCTGCCCGAATTAATTATGTTTTTGGGCCTTTCTTGTCTTGAGGCAGGTGCCGGCTCAGCCCTGGTGCAAGATACGTCATAGCGCATAATTGGACTAAAAGATGGAGATAACACGGCGAAACTGGCTCGAAAGAAAATAAAATTTACGACAAAAGTACGCCGTTTCGCGATCCGATGTTATGTTGTAAGCCATTGGAGATAAAGATTACATTTCTTATTCGACAAGGAATTTATTTATATTTCTTCCAGTGAGATTTGGTTTTGATGGCGTTTGACATGGCGGATAATGGGGTTGCACCGTTACACCGTTTAATTTTTGCATACGCCAAACCCTTATCACTTTAACATTCGTGCCACAGCACAAAAACATTAATTTTCCTTATGGGACTCGGAAATTCATTAAAAATTAAAAGTAAATCATGATGCAGATAAACTGGTGTATGATTCTTTTTTCAAAAAAGATCAAGCGTGTCGTCCGATGAGGTGAAGTCCTTTGGCATCTATCTAACCTTACGCAAGAATCTTTTATGTAAATTTAGTATAATATTAACACATTGTAATTTCAGGCAATCAACACTTAGGTTACAGACATTCGCGGAAGTGATGATCTGGAATATAATATGCACTTTTTTTTTATTTAGAAATCGTGAGATGCGGTTTGGTGCCTCACGACACGCAAGAATGGCACAATTACATAGAAGACAAACACTTTGGGCCCTGAAGATGATCTCAATAAAGATCGAAACGTTGGCACGATAAAGAAAATGTTTTTCTGAAACCTACATCATACCAGACAGCATCTCACGATTTCTAAATTAATATCGATTAACGGTCACTAATCACCACACACAATATGCACTATCCAAAAAAAATGTTGAAATTGGTTTTTAAATAAATTTGGGCAAATTGGACTAACTAAGGTTTATCACGCCTCAGACTGCATGAAGAAATCTCACAAATAAATATTACGATTAAGATAGCTGAAACCTTCTCTTTTATGTCAAAAAAGAGACGTATGCCAAAAATAGAAATTGACATAATTTACGTGTAAACTTAAAAAGGGAACATGTAGAAATCTATTCCCCCATTACAGTGCATACATTACATCACGATAGCTCAAGTGGTTAGAGCAGCGGCTTATTTCGCCAAAGGTCGTGGGTTCAAATCCCGCTCGTGACAATGACTTTTTCATTTCAAGAGATGACCTTACATGAAAAGATTAATTAATTGAAAGAAGTAATTTGGTCATTCGGACCATTAAATATAATAATACCTACAGGCCCAATAATATCCCAAACCTGAGTATAATGAAAGTTGGTCGATGCCCTGACTAACCTCGAAATGTTTTAAAGTAGCTAAAAATTATGATGATTTTTTTCATTGTGGGTTTTTATTAATTTAATTATTCTTTATAATGTGATCAATCGATATTATTTATAGCTTGAGCAAATATAGTTGCTCACCCAGCTTTCCGAATATTTACTTACTACTCGCACTAGTTCCCTGGCCATCTCTGCTTCAGTCGCCTTACTAGGTTGAAGCAAAATGATAATTTTTGACATGCATCGTGCCATGGATAGGATGTGAGGATAGTTTTACACATGGAAAATTTGTTGGGGATTAGATTTTTATCGAAGGATGTTTTGTGAAGGGTGGAAACGTAGTAGTCAACGACAATGGTTTTGATGACTTTGGATTAGAAGGATTGTTTTCTTTGGATGTTGCAATAACATTATAATAAGCCAAAAGATAGGGGTGGAAATACGCTGACTGTGTAACTTTTGGAATCGGGATTGTACGAGTTCATTGAAAAATAAATTTATAAAAAGATTAGTTACTAGAAAATTAGCTAAGTAAAACTGGATAGCAGTTTTTACTGATTTTTACTTTGTTTTTAAAAAGTGAATATCCAATTTGACGTAACGCATACGTAAGAAGAACTATCCAGGGTACGCCGAAGTCTCCGCCTTGTCGTCAGTGCCCTATGTGGGTAATAACTTAAGCGAGCCCGCATAATTTTTGACATTTTTACCCACTCGCACCTTTGGACGGCGTCCTGAAAAAATGACTGTACGGACCAAAATCACCTCGCAGCCAAATCAGAAAAAAAGATCTTTAAAACCCTTTTGCCATGTGAGAAATCAAAACATACAGCCAGACGCCCAGCTGCTGACCACATGTTGCACAATCCGATTTTCTTCGCATCGCACGGATCAAAAGAGAGCGCCGCCCGTGGAACAGAACGCAATTTTTACGGAGGATCGCATGTCCGAAAACTCTAAATGCGGGAATATGTCGAAAAGAGAAAGTTTAAAAATAATGGAGAATAAATTGTGTTTGACTTGCTACTAGAGTTTAACAAAATATGGTTAATAAAACGTCATCTATGGTTTTAGTAATGTTTTGATTTACTGTGACTATTAACAGTAATGGGTAGTGACAAAACCTGCCAGCAATTGCTAATGTGGTTCTTTGGGTGTACGTCATGGCTGTACTTTCTTTTACAAACAACACTGTTAGATTCTTCTAAGGTCTGCGGAGAACCTGTAGTTTGATCAAAACCACCACTGAAGAAGGCCAAACTCACCCGACAGGCCAGAACAGTGCCAGTCCGAATGACAAGAATATTCGGAAAAAACCAAATTAGAAATAAACATTATTTCTGACCATTTTGAGTAAGATTCTTCATACAAATCTTAGGAAAGCAAACCTACTCAAGAAACGAAGTATCACTTCGGTAAATTGCTAATATATCAGACATATAGATCTAATGTGTCAGATGTTAGTTTTAATTACTTCTTGCATACCTAATGCATACGTGACGCTAATAAATAACTCATATGGTAATACTACTAAAATAAACATTTGTGTAAGATATCTCTTGAGATAAAAAGGTCAAAGTCACGAGCGGGACTCGAAACCACGACCTTCGGCCTAATACGCCGCTGCTTTACCACTTGAGCTACCGTGACTTCAATCAACTCGGACACCAACTCCCCATCTCAACCTACAACCTTTGGAATTTTCCCCCTTTTTGGGTTGAGATAGGAGGTTGGTCTCCGAGAGGATTGAAGTCACGATAGCTCAAGTGGTAGAGGAGCGGCGTATTTAGCCGAGGTTCGTGGGTTCGAATCCCGCTCGTGACACTGACTTTTTATCTCAATCAGTACCTTACATAAAAATTAATTAATTGAAAGATGTTATTTGCCCAATACGACCACGAAATCTAATGAATTTATGTAAACATTGTTAACACGTATGCAGGCATAATAAAGCCCTCGGTTCTTTGTCCTCTTCGCTGTAATCTTTGTGATCAGCGATGACATTATAGTAATATACTTAATACATATTTCCCTAAAAATTTATGAACTCATTTTTAACCAACAAAGCTGTTCACGGCTTATCTAAGGTCAGCGAGTTTTTCCTTTATTTCTTAGTTAAATGACTATTATACATTTCATTGATAACAGTAAATGGCGAATAGTATGAGGTCTATGACAATTGACACGCTACGCTCGTTTGAAGAGGCCCCTTTGATCATGTCTACCTCTGACTTTTGTAAAGGGAACGTGACACTCTGGCAGAAAAGAGGGTTGGCGCTCATACATCACAGGTGACGTAGGTTCAGCTGCAAGTTGGCACTCGTAAGTCGCAGTCCCTCGTCACGTTTGACGCAAATTGGGCAATCTTGTAAACAGGTCATCCGGACCGGACAATGAACACCTGACGACGGGTTTCGCCTCTGGAGGGTGGCTTGAATGGACTCCCTAGGAAAGAGTTGAAGGAGGGAACACGTGTATCGGCCGGCAGATGCACGGTGTGCGACTTTCCGAGGTTCAGCTGCAGCTTGCACGGGCATACGTCGATATACTAGTATGGTAATTTACGAATTGCCCCTTTTGCTATAGAGATTTCTTATACCACCCACTACTCGTTACGTAATCATAATTTCCCCTCTTTTATTGTTGGTTAACTGGTTGGTTGATGGTAAACTGGTTCAATGGCAGGATTCTTTTGATTTATTAAAAATTGTGTCAAATTAGAAAATTCGTATCTAATCTTTTAAAACATTTGAAAACAAAACACTTAGATCAATTTTCCCAAAACTCGATAACGATAAAATTGAAATATCAATTACGTTGAAGTGTGCTGAATGAAAAAATACTTTTAAAAAATCTAGTTTATTTTTACCTATGAGCATGTTATATCCACAAATCGACAGTGAATAAGTGAATCAGTTATGAATAAATGACAAAGTACTGATATGAGTAAGTTTAGTACTAAGTACTAAGTTTCTGTCGATAATTGAGTAGTGTAGTACTACTTTCGATGCCAGTGTCCAGTACTGGTATCGAATATTTTCTAGTATCGCATGTCATGACTACCAAGCCGTCTATTGGTACTTCCAGTTTCTCGGAATCAAAATGGAAGACCATGCTCTGAGAAACTCCAACTGCCTCTCCGATATCCACTTGCGGTGACCTCGATGACTCATTCCCACAATAATATTGCGAACTTCTGGTTCAAGATTATGTCTTTCCATAGTTAAAGAGAATACAACTGGAAAAAATGGAGAAAAGGTGTTTGTTTACAAAACGAATAATCTTCATGTTTACTATTCTTAAGTAATGTGTGGTGATTATTGACCGTCAGAAATCGTGAGTTGCGGTCGGGTGTGATGTAGGTTTCAGAAAAACATTTTCTTTATCGTGCCAACGTTTCGATCTTTATTGAGCTCATCTTCAGGGCCTTCAGGAATATTGTTTAAATTTAACAAAAACATGTAGGATGTGGAAAAAAGTGAATTTATACAATGCAAATAAATATTTTTTTTTTTAATTCAATCAAAGTATTTCTACTCACTCAAAGTGTTTGTTTTCTGTATAATTGTGCCATTCTTGCGTGTCGTGTTGAGAATGCCAGTGAGATATTGCTGTTTTATATGTTTATGTACGTTGGATTTTGAAGGGGTGGGGAAGGAAGTCGGTATAGAAAGACATTTTTGTATAAGAAGTTGGCTTCTTTGAGGTGAAAAGAGCCAACGATGGGATAAAAGTTGGTAATGGTTCGGCCAGATTATCTTTCAGGATTATATAGACGGGGATAAATAGGAAAAGGAAAGCTAAATTGTTCAAAAATTAGACTATGTAAAAATGTTTGATATGTGGAATGTGATGAATGTTTTATACGTTATATTGTATATTTTGTGTAATGTGAGGATGATATCGATATTGAATTTGATTGAGATATTGGCGAGCTGCGACTGAGTTTACATGTGACTGTTCTTTAATTGATGCTGTGTTTATCTCTGTTGATGTAAACCATTTGTAAAAATTTACGTTTATGTTTGTTTTGTTCTGTGTGTAATATTTTTGGATTGTTGAAGTCGAAGTTGTGTTGGTGTTCAAAATGGTGGG